CTTTCAACAATGGGGATTGTCGTCAGTGGAGAAGACCGAAACTCTAGCATCCCCAATGAACAACAAAAGATCAACCAGATTGCGAGTGAAAATGACTTCGGGCTGGTCATAACAACTCTCGATCAACTGTTCATCTTTTTCGGTACCTGGTGGACCTCTTCAGTCACCGGTCGAGTACAGGTAAATGCACCAAGTACCTTAGGTGTTGATTGGGCTGACATTAGAGACTTGATGTTCAGACTTACCGACATTATGCCCATTCCGCATTAGTCAGTGTCGTACAGTCTGAGAGAGACACCGCAGGGATTCTTAGCTTCTATTTTTCGGGAATTCCTGCCTGGGCAATGTCCAGTGGGTTGGCTATAGCTCGTGAAACCCCGATGAAACGGGTGTTTGTCTCTCTCCGGGACTACGTTCAATCTTTGACAGGCGACTCACTCGGTGTTCGTTCTCTTTTCGGGGTTTTTTATACAGCGTGAGTATCTCATTCGCCCGTTCGAATAGGAAACACAACTGATTACGAATAAAGGGCGAGAAATGCTGTGCTCATATTGTCTATGGAGTTCTACATGTACTCCACACTTCAATCCCTTTCCCTTGTATCCCCATATGGAATTCCTGGCGTGCAATTCCTGCTTCCCTTCAGCGGAGAATCCTTGCTACAGCTGCCACCCTTGCCCACTGATTTCTCCCCTCAGTCAATGGTGACCTCACTCGTGAAATTGTTGCTCTCCCCTGGCGCTTTAGTGTTTCTCTATGGCTACTACCTGCGACCAGAGCTTGAAGAGCGCATATATCGGTTGATCAGACGACACCTTCCGAAGCCAGCTCTTCCTGATGAACTTTCAGTCCGCGTTGCCTTTGAAGAAAATCTGATCGAGTGGGTAGTGCCCACCCTGGGCCGCAGATCAGTCGAAGAATTACACCGCGGCAAGCTCACACTATTTGAAGACATCAAGCTTGAACTGTCCATGCTTCGAATATGGGTATCATCGCTTTTTAGACCGAGATCTACCCAAACGTTAGAGCAGCAAGCTCTCTTGTCCTTTAGAGACGAAAGGATTCAAAATCTACGCAACACGATTGAGCTGTTGCGACATGAACTCGGAGAAGACAACCTTGTTTCCGATGCAGGACCAAATGATCCCGTGCCTAGACCGCCGGGGATTACTCCTAATGCCCAGGTTGCCGCTCTTGCATCACGAGCACGACCACGGCCGCAGGATGCAACGCATTTGACTCAGGCAGAATCAGTTATTGGGCTGAATCAAGTGCTTATTAACGAAGATCGTATGTCTCAATCGCCTGGGGAAATGAGCAATGACTATTTCTCCGAGATAGCTACTGCTGGACGAACGAGTCTTCTCTCGGCCACTTCAACCCCGCAGGACCAAACAGCCCCTTTGCAAAATGGTGAGGAATTTGCTATGGACCGACAGAACTCGCGGTCTAATACTCTCTTCTCTCACCCATCATCACCAGAAACATCACCTCCTACGTCGCCTCGCGTAAGAGCATCCTTGATTCACCAGAGCTCCGAAGTTATCACGATGCAGCTTGAGTTGATGGGCAATCGGAACCATCAGCCCCAGACCCAAGCTTTAAATCCCGCCCAGCTGAATGGACTGGCACGAAATGATATGTCAGGGTCAAATACAACTCCAGATGCCATGGACAGACGATCCATAGCCGAGTTCCTCGAGGCTCTGATCTTAAGTCAGGCCCAGCGTCAGGTCCATCAGCCCCCGGCAGATACGGACGGCCTCTCAAATACCAACTCCGGGCCATCCAACACAACCCCCCAAGACTTAGGTGCCTCTGAATTAGACCCTCAAAATCCGGCCCCAGAAACTCAAGCCACCAACGCTCCAGCTTTAGAGTCAATCGAGGGAGCATTAGGATCCATCGTTCAGAACATTCTCCCAGATGGCGTGGAAGAACCAAATGACGAAGAGCCCTCCAATGAATCAAACCCTGTCCCAGATAATGAAGACACTCAATCCGACAACCCCGTCCAGCCAGTCCTACCCTCTTCTTTGACTCCTGGACAACCGACAAACACATCGTCGCAAGTCCACCGCGTCACCCTTCTTTCGGCATACCCAGTGGACTCACTCGCATCTCATCTCGCTGCTGCAATCAGCGGCATCATACTCGCGCCACTTGAAGCACTATACCTTCGCTCATTGACCCGATCCTGGATTATCTCACATCCTTCCTCCATCACCCGTCTCTCAGATGTCCATCCGCTGGGTCTTTGGTTTGGCGGAAGAACTTGGCCAGATATGTATGCTTATTCCTGCCGACTCGTGCTCATGAGGGGAATGCAAATTGCGATGAGAGCGGGTATATGGGGGTTCCTTGTGGGCTCGACAATGAGGATTGGGAGGAAGTTCTGCGGCTGGGGAACCCTGTGAGGAACCCTTGTTTCTTTAAGCCGCCTAGATACCTAGGTCACTCTACCATGTTTCCTCTATTTTCTCGCACTCTGTATCTTAACCATAATATTACTTTAATCCATATGCAACATGATAGGTTGATAGTTGTTTCCATCAGTCAGGCTGAAAAATTTAGTACCAATGTGTTGTATTTCTTTTGTCTTCTGATGCAGCATTTGCGTCTACTTTACCGAACGAACAGTCGAAGATATCAAAAAAAAAAACAAAAACAAAAACATAATTTCGTCATTATTTGATGGTACATTGCATTTGCTCTCAAAAGATACATGTAAACACGTAGAAGGCAATAGCAAGTTCGCAGCCCGAGCCAACTCCTCAGATAACCATCTCAGATCATGCACGCCCCTTTCCTTTGTTCCCTGGCACCTTACGCCGCTCCCAAACCATAAGATATCCCTCACGGGCGAACAGCGTCTCGCTTTCCGCGCGCTTGACGAACAAATCCTGAATCTCAAGCCACTCTGGACCCTGCTGCTGCTTCTCTGTGGAACCGCCATTTTTGGCGCGAGTGTTCTCAGCCTCCATAGCTTTATCGTGAAGTTGGACAAGCCATGACACCTTCTCGCTGCCGCCACCTGCTCCACTGGAGGAACCGCCGGCTCCTGACGCAGAGTTAACACCCTTTTCCACAGCGTCATCCATTGCACCGGGTGCGGCGATAGCAGGATCGAGGATGATGTTTGCGACAAGATCATAGAGGATTGGATCACTTGGTGAACAAACATTTGGATTTGGCTCGACATAGGGGGACATATCCAAGGAGTGCGGAGAGGGAAAGGTGACAATGGTTGGGTTTCGCTCAGAGACAAAACGGTTCTTGCTGAAGCGCTTGATATGGAAGAAAAGGTAAGGAGGAAGAGGGTGGAGGAGACGGTGTCGGACACGGTGAGCCAGTTTCTCTGACGCCGTGTAGCCGTTATATTTGTTCAGGAGGGTAGTCAAGGGAACCTGTGGGATGATCGACTCCCGATTGGCAGATTGGAAGAGAGGTGTGGGGGGTAGGTCCAGTGTGAGAATGAGGAAAGGAGTAACCTGGCTATTGATTATGCCAGATTCAGTGAATACCAAACGGGCATTTTGGGTGTCAGAGTGAGCGGTGATAGCTTGGCTTTCGATCCGTACACGACCCTGAAATGCTGCGTGAACAACACTTGTGGGTGTTGGTGAGGGCTTCTTGGATCCTCCTAAGGCGAGGTGCAGGCAGTTCAAAAACCAGGACAAGAAGTCCACAGGATCTGCCTGGTTCGTGAGAGTGAAACGTTTCGAGGATCGTACGGCAATCTCCTGTAGTAACTCGTGCGGAGACACATGTGACCGGAACGCTTTAGGGTTCCATAGCTTGCGCACCAGCGTGCTGAAACGAAGAATTATCTCTGGTGTGCCTGGTGTGGGGAACTCGTGGAGCAGAAAGAAATTGCGAATTGGCAAAACATGTGCCAGTAGTTGAGCGACTACATTGACGTAGTCGTTGGCTTTGATGTTGTTCATACCGACAAACCCTGAAAAGAGACAATTAGCCAAAAGAGTACTTTTCCGTCCTATAATGGTAGATGCTCTTACCTGGTCTGTACTTTGACCCTGAAAGGTCCCAGGCATCATGCACTTCCTTATCGAGTTTGACCACTTGGTTTTTTGTGTAGTGTGGATCAACCACATACTTGATATCATCCAAACTCTTGTTGTTGACCTCGTATCCTTCAGGCAAAACGTAGACCTTCTTCGTGCCGATGTTGATGAAGACGTGGTGTCCAACTTCAAGGGCGTGAAAATATGCATGCGATTTCGGACCACGACCCTGGAAGTATTTGCCGCAGACGAGGCATGCGTACACATTGATGTTTGACAAAGTGACGGAGCACAGCTTCTCGAAATCGAAGTCCAAAATTTCGCGGTTGATCGTGTCGAGGTAGAGGTCGCCGTAGCCTTCCATGGGAGCGCTTTGCCGCTTCGGAGCGCTGAGTGCAGGTGCATCTTCGTCAATATCCGAGAGTCCAAGGGGATTTTCGCCCTCCTCAAGCTCCTCTCTTTCTATTTCAGCTGCTCCTTCGATATCCACGCCATTGAGATCGTCCTGTGTCAACTCTTCGCCGCTCGTGCGGTATGCGGGCACTGCGCCGTTGCGAGAATCGGGGTCGTTGCCCTCCTCGACGCGCGCCCTTTTCAAAACAGGCGAGCCAGAGGAATCTTGCTCCAAGGGGAGCTCTGCGTGTCTTTTCGACATTGTGAGATGGTTTGGATCGAAAAGTTGGTGATCCCGGGGTTCTGGACTTTCCGATAGCTCGGGATGCGACTGCGTTGCAAACAAGTCAAACACCCAGGCCAATGCCAAGCTGTGTACGTTCTACTCCGTATACAAACTACTGTTCATTTTGATTATAGGACTGTATTTGCCTATTACTTATCCAAGATTATCTAGGAATCTACTCCTTACTTGACCTCCGAGCTTGCTACAGCCTAAATCATGCCGACCGTTGGATTATCCCGGAATCAAAGAAAAACGTCGTAAGATGTGATACAACAAACCCCGTCGTTTGTCGACCTTCAAGCACTCCGGACCACCTTATCATTATCCACGGGGACTTCTTGCACGCCATCCTTTGTCACGACCTTCACTAGCATCTGTAGATAATTGTGTCAGAATAACGGATTTGCTCATGGCGTTTGAAAGAACTTACCCCCTTGTAGTCAAAGGGTAGTCGGCGCTTCAGCTCGTCTGTGCACAGGGTGAGGAGCGCAAGGCCCTCCTCGAGGGAGCAGTCGGGATGGTGATGTTTGTCAAGGATGGAGAGGCAGTAGTATCTAGCGAAGTCAGCATCAGTGATCTCTTGCCTGGAGTTTCGTCCGTCATAGCAGGCCATGAAACATACTGGGCATAGCCGTGGGCAGCATATGGTAGGGGCGCCAGCGACGCTAGGTAATCAATCCAGTACAGGTGAGGCTTCTCAGTGACCGGATCTATACCACCTAGCAGCAGGTTTACTGTGTAGGGACTCCGTGACCGCAAGCTGCGCGCCAATTCTCCACGGACGAAATTGGCAACGGCGGAGGGACTGAGCTCAGTATCATTGCGCATGCTGTAGAGTGCAGCGTTGGCTTGGATGTATTCGGCAAATTGAACTAACATAGGTATATCATTAGCATCTTGTTTGTCTCATCGGAGAAGCTACATACCGGTATCTCCAGACTCGCCAGAGAAAGCCATCAATGTGTTCTTGTTCAACTGTCGTGTCTTATCATCCTCAGCCTTCAGAACTGTCGGGCCTCTCATTGCAGCCTTGGATGCAGCAAGAATGACGAAGTCCTTGCCGGCGATACCCAAAAGAACCTCCCTAGCAAACTGTTAGTGACGTTTTGTATCGACGAGATGACCATAAACTTACATGTTTGCGGTATGAGAGATAAAAGAAGAATTACAAGCAAGCAGATGATCAGAGAAGGCGAAGGGGAGTAGTGGTCAAGTGAGGAGGACCGCGCGGTGAGCTTGACGCCTGGAGCTCCCGTGAGGTCAGCTACCCGCTGAGTCAGCCGCCGCTTAGCGCTTTTTTTTCTGCCAAAAAAAAGTTGAAGTTTTGATCTCCGCAGTCCGAGTCTTTCGAGAACGCCATAGATTCAATTTCTTTATACAGAGATCAAGCACCGACAGGCTTGACAAAAGTCGCCATGTCGTCCTTTTTTACTGTACCCAATTCCCAGCGCAAGAGGAAGAGAGACGACCGCGCCGGAGCCCCAGGATCAAAAAAGCGAGGCGTAGATGCCAAAACCGACGGTGGTCGACGCACCAAAGACAGAGAGGAATCGATCTCGGGCAGTGACTTGGACGAGGATGCCGCAATTGATACAGCAGAGTCAGGAGACGAGAGTGGATCGGACTCTGAAGATGGCGAGACCGCGGCGGATCGAAGATTGAAACTCGCTGAACGCTACCTGAGTAACATCCAAGAAGAAGTCGACGAAGCTGGATTTGATGCCGCGGATATCGACCGAGACTTGATTGCGGAACGATTGAAGAAGGACGTCGACGAATTTAAAGGACGGACGTTCCGTCAAATCGCAGCGAAACTATCCGTTCCCACGGCGCCCCATTCCTTTTTCCGCTCAGATACCCAGTCAAACACCGCTATCGCAGTCCACCCGCCATTTGTTTACATTGTTTCCAAAGATAAAACTTTGACCAAGTGGGAATTGGCTACACCCAGTGTACCAGACTCTACAGAATTGAACGGCGATAATGATACTTCCAAGCGGGCTCCGCGCCCCCAGCGCAAGAAGCCCAAGCGTGTGAAGTACGCTCGGGGTATGCGCAAAGTTGGCGAATCAGGCGAGGATCAAGGACATACAGGAAGCATCATATCTGTTGCTGTCTCGCCTTCTGGAAAATTCTTGGCCACCGGTGGAACGGACAATAAGCTTATCATCTGGGATGCAGAGACTTTGACGCCAAGCAAGACCTTTTTGCACCACAGGGACTCGGTTTGCAGCTTGTCTTTTGCACGCCATATCTCGGCGATGAGTTCTGGAGAGCAGTTGTTCTCCGGTTCGTACGACCGCACAATTAAGACATGGTCCATCAGCGGAGCTGGCCACGCGTATGTCGAAACGCTCTTCGGCCACCAGGATCATGTCACCGGAGTTGCTGCCATGACCATTGACGAATGTATCAGTGTTGGTGCTCGGGATCGTACCGCCCGCTTATGGAAGGTTGTCGAGGAAACACAGCTCGTGTTCCGGGGCGGCGCCTCCAGAAATGCCCCTTACCACGAGAGCAACATCGACTGTATTGCCCCCCTCCCACCCACTCACTTCGTCACTGGCTCAGATTCCGGCTCCCTCTGCCTTTGGTCTGTCCACAAGAAGAAGCCACTCTACACCGTTCGTCTTGCTCACGGCTTGGACCCGATCCCCCCTCTGGATGTGTTATCACCCGAGTTAGACGAGGCGACTGCCGCCCACAACACGCGCCACATGCGCCCAATGCCTCGCTGGATCACTGCACTCGCTACTCTACCGGGTACAGACGTTGTCCTCAGTGGCAGCTGGGATGGTTTCATCCGCGCATGGCGCGTCTCAGAAGATAAAAAGACACTTATCGCTCTGGGACCCATCGGTGCAGGCTTACCCGGTACCGTGACACCAACAGACATGCCCTCGCAGCAACTCAAACAGACCCTGGCTCTTGATACCACCCCTGTGGCTGATCAAAAGGAGCCAGAGCCATTGATCAAGGGTGTCATCAACGGCATCGCGGTCTTTGAACGACGCCCTGAATCCGATATGCCTGGAGCTGAAATAAAAAAGTCCGAGACCGAGCACGAACCTCGTGGTTTGTCCATCATCGCCGCTGTCGGCAAGGAACACCGATTGGCTCGCTGGAAGTGCTTCACCAACAATTTCTACGAGGGCGCCACTTCGGGAGGCCGCAATGGGGCTGTTGTCTTCGAAGTTCCGTTTGCTACTAATGACACCGTGAAGGCTGATGTATAAATTTTGTTCATAATCTTCTTGTCTCGATCTTGGTCATTGGCCGAGGATAAAATGGGGAGCGTTGCTCGGGGTCAGGTGTATTTGGAGTCACATCTGTGTATTTTACCATTTTGCATATGTATCGAATTTCTTCGGTGCATTGAAGTATTTCAATCATATCCCCCTTTCAAGCAACATTGTCCCTGAAGTTTACACTTCGTGATTAGGGTAAACGATCTGAAAAGGTGCATAGGTACCCGTTTATAACCTTGCTTCCCTCCAATATTGCAACGTGCGTTATTTCAACAACCGATAACCAAAGACTCCTACGACTTGCCTCCGTGATGTTGAGATGTTTGCTGGCCGTGCTTGTCAGTTTACTTCGCTTGTGGATAGGGTATCCACCAGGTGGGTCAGTGGTAAATCTATTTGTCTACTCTGGATGGACTCGTGGACTGTTGTAGGGACATGTGGTTATCAAAGCAATATGAGCAATAACAATACTCAGCAAGCCAGTAAGCTTTATTAATTCGGCGAGGGATTAGAATATGAGAATCAAGGATTTAATACGGTAAAGCCCGGTGTCTTTTTCATAAACTTTGTGGTCACTCTTCAGTTAGTGCCAAGAGACTAGGTTCGTCGACTTCACTGGGAAAGGGCAACAAAAGATCAAGATCGAACCGAAGACGGATAAGTAGGGGTATTGTATTCGTGGAATATGGCCGAGCCAATAAGAAACGAAACATGAAGGGTCCAGCCATTGAAGGCAGCAGAAGAGAAAAAAGAAAGAGAAAAAGTCGCCCTTTTGATATCAAAATGAAGACAAAACGCCAGCCATGTCCACTCTCCTGTTATCATTACCCAAGCGCCGCGCTGAAGTCGAAAGGAAACATTAAGTAGGCCGATGAAATGCGAAAGCAGATGCCGCGTCGGCGGTTGGAAGATTTTTTTAATATGGAGAGAATCTGGCCCGTCGCCTCTGTGTAGCTCTTCTCACTGGGCCGACAGGCTGATCTTCGTCGGAGTCATCGACGGGGATCGCATTGTGAGCAGTGGTCCCATGTGGGATAGGACGGCGCGCACCGGGTCTAGCAGGCCTAATAGGCGGCGAAGATTCCTCTTCCTCGGATGAGTCCGGAATTGTTTCAGGTGGAGGCCTCGCTGCAAGCCATGAAGCATCGTTGGGGGCTCGGAACCGTTGTGGATATTGTGGATTGGCTTGACGAGGCCGTGTAGTCTGAATTACGTCTTCGTCGGATTCATCCGAGTCTTCATCGACCATCTCCCTGTCGTCCGAATCCTCTGAGACTTCCTCTTCCACCTCTTCATCAGAGGAGGCATCGGCATCAAAGTAAGGTGTGGTGGTTCTGTAATTGAGCGCAGTCGGTATTGAATGGCGGCCACCCTCAGCATCATCCACAACGGTGCCTGTGGAACGGTCTGATTCCGATTCATACATATCGCCACTCCCGAGATGATGGGCTTCGCTTTCAATGAACGAACTCGTGGGCAGATGGTCATCAATGAATGAGTCTGACTCGTCATACTCATTCTCCTCCTCCTCCTCTTCTTCTTCGTCATCTTCTTCGTCGTATTCACTTCCATTGGTGTTACCTGAAGCGAGATAGTTGTCATGATTCACTGGGAGCGGCGGGCCCAGTGGGATCATGGGAGGTCCATGTAACAAGTTCTCAAGCCGGTCGAAAAGCTGCCGGTCAGCACCTGGATGCCAGTTAGGACGCCTAGGGAAGGTAGGCCCGTAATAGTGAAGCGCAAAGTTGCCCCAGACGCCATCCTGGTCTTCAATCTCATCCAAGTGGTCAGACTCCCCTAGCTCGCCATCGCCCTCGCCCTCGTCCTCATTCTCGTCCTCACCCTCACCCCCATCCATACCATCATCCATCGAGTCTAGGTCGGTCTCACTGTAGTCGGCCGAATCACTGTCATCTGTCTCAGAATCTGGCCGATACTGATAGCCACATGATGCGCAATCGTATCCTTCAAGTTCCCACGAGCAGTGTGGACATCGAACCACTCCGTCTTCGGGGTCAGGTTTGGGTGGGGGATCTTTGGGCTTGAAAAGACCTCCGAACAGACCTCCTTCGGTTGGATGATTGTTGGCCTTGTCCTGGTCTAGTCTTTCTGCTTCGTCCTTTTGGTTTTTTGTATGCTCTGTAGTCGTTTCTCCTTTGTCTAAAAGCTCAGCTCGACCTGTGAAAATCTGCACAACGGCTCGAACCTGTAACACGAGAGATATGTCAGATACAATGAAATGATTGAAGATTATCAAAACTCACCAGATAAGCTGGTGCTGGCTGGGTTTTGACGGGTGCCCGGCAATCCGGGCATGTTCGCTTTGATCTTCCACCAGCAAACCATGACGATAGACACTATATGAAGAATTATGGTCAGCGAAGAGAATTCACGACAGAACAAGTAGAAAGGACTCACTGAGTAGCAGAAAGTATGCCCGCAAGCGATTGTAAACGGTTCGTAAAGGGGACGGATGCATATACCACACTGTATCAGAGTGCGAATATCATCGACATGGCCTTGAAGAGTGTTGACCAGCTAGATTACGCGCGTGAGTTTTTAGGTCACTTGAATCAGATGCGGGACTTGTCTTACTCCCGATGCCTCAGCCCCAGAACCACTTCTAGCTGCCATTTTGACCTTCTAGGGCTCGTCGAGAGCTGTGGTTTCCACACTAGGAGCGTGGCCCATCAACCGAAGTGCGTTTAAGGCGTATTGGGGTGATGCGCGTGTGTCAACAGGTACGGTGGGGGTCCCGGAAGGTAAAAGTTTCGCGAAGTGGCAAGGTGTGATCAACAGATTTTCGCAGAGACGAACGCTAGGAAATCGAGGAACACAGGCGAGGATAGCGTGACGGTCTGAGATTGAGAGAAAGACACCGGGAAGAGCAATAATATGATCCAGATTCTTTAAGTGAGAGGGCAGGTGTTTTGTGGCCTCAGGCAGCCATCACATAATCATGAGGAAGGGGGCGGCGCTTCGAGCTGGCAACTTTGGAAGTGACTCGTCACTTTCTTTTATCGATGGTCCTTATGTGACAGTCACTTCTTTGGGACTTCTGGCGCTTGTTTAAAGGTTATTTATTGTGAAAATAGTCTGCGTGACAAGTGCAACTATACCTCTCTTACAGGTGAGAGACTTTTCTACATGAATGAAGCCTCAGCAGGTCTTATAACACAAAGATGTTACCCTTGTCTTGACTTCCTTTTTACCTTTATTGTTGGTTTGAAATCAGGTGAGCCAATAGATAATTATTTCTATTCAATAATATAGCTGATCGAAGCATATATACCTCACTTGACATATACATCTCGCACCAACCGGTTCACTCCCTCGACAGTCTCCGAGGCACTCACAAAGACTCCATGCAGCATCATTCAAGTCGAAGCCTTTGCTTGAACTCGAGGCCTTTTATATTTTTAACATCTGATTAACTTGGAGAGAACATTCATTTCATATCATATCATTATCCAAGCGATTGCCTGCATCTCTTGAGATCTTCTTGAGTAAAAACCAACATACAACTTCAATTTCCTGACGAAGATTAAAGCACTAAATCATGACCCGAAGCCCCAAACGAGGCTTGCAAGACCAAAATGAACAATCATATCGTTCAAAATCAATGATCATCTCATCGCGAGCTCTTCAGGGCCATATGGCCAAGAGCAGGCCAAATATTTTTCGCTCCCCTAGCACTGGTGTCTACTCTGTATCTTATATCTTTGCTTCTCTGCCGCATCATCAAGGATCCCCAATGTATCTTCCTTGCTACTCACGGAGAAGTTGATATGGTCAATCGATGTCTATGGCAGAGACAAGGTCAATATCCGCATTCCTTGAGACAATGTCCAGAGCCTTGGGGCTTTTGTATGCGTCATAATAAATGGCGCACATCTTTGAATGGTTTCAGCACCTTATTTCATTGCTAATCAATATGGTGAATTCACTCCGCTGCGTATCCCCCCCGCAATTGATATTGGGACAGACTGCTCGAATATTCATACTTCTTTCGCACCTCTGGGTTCAAAATCCCCTTTATCATTTGCTGGCTAGTGAGAACAGCTCGGGAACACTAATAAAGTGTTTGTGCATTGCTTTTTTTCAACTTCCATATGATCATTTATATGTTGTAGTGCCCGTGAATATATATGTGGAGTATAAACTAGGAAGTTGCATTCTAAGAATGGAAATGTAAGCTATTTCAGTGGATCCACAAATCAGACATAACTAGAAGCCATGTCTATTTAGATACTTCATTCTAGACTTGTATCAAACCCAAAGTATTACATAAAAACATGGTGCTATGCAGACCTCGGGATTCTACATTGGCAGATCTCCGCGCCAAGACTGCGGATCCCCAATTCTTCTTGCGTCCAGCGCTAACTTCTGCTCCAATCAACCTCTACCTCCAATCTGATCTTCGAGCAACGCTTTGGCATTCTATTCTATTTGACTATATCATTTACCTAAAGTGTCCATTGCAAAGACAGGAGCAATAAGAACTCATTGCACCCATGGCGGCCGAGTCAACACAAGGAGACACTCACGACAAAGCGTGGGAAAGAGCGGAGAAGAAGTTCGCACAGTATGTTTCAATCTTTCTTCCCTCCTCTATACTTGTTTGTCCATTCTCAAAACATGATCTGGCATGTCTGAAGCCATCCGTGATCGCGGGATCATCTTACACGGACTATGGGGTCTTGAGAGCCACGCATAGCAACACAGGCTAGCCCGGTGGTTGCATCTATTCATCGGGCTGAATACACGTGGCTTTTATCTATACTGGTAGCTAACTAGCTAACTTGCGATATTAGTAAAAATGCTAGCGAGTACTACGACCCATGCCAAGACTTCGCAGATCGGAGTCTAAAGTGTATGAAACGGAATGCCTATGAGCGCGAAATGTGCCACGATTATTTCCAGTAAGTCGGTAATTATTCTGCGATTTAATTAAGACTTTGACTTGCTTTCCGTGCAATGTACTGGCTTTCGATCCACTTCTGGCCAGCTTGTACAATATTGTCATGATTATCATATTTGAGCTTTCACACTGACTGATGACCTTTTCTAGAGCTTATCGTGATTGCAAAAAGAACTGGGTAAGTTGAATATGAGACCTTTGCCATCACCTCAGCAATCTCCCGTCTCGGGCAGGCTATCCGCGAGATCCATTAACTTTGATTCGATATGCGTTGGAGCATCTTCGGTCGCTAACAAGGCACAGCTCACCCAGAAGAAAGTTTCTGCAACGCCTCAGCCCAAATAAGACATCTCTTTCATCTGGACCATTCTTATCGAAAAGATCGACAACTCCTGACTGGCAGGATCCCTGACATCCCCGAAGCAGTTGTTGCATGCCGATGCGTAGGGTGTGCTCGTTGATTAATTCAATATTCAGAAGCCTGTCAAAGCCAAATTCCTACCTTTTGTTCAGGTGATAAGCATTAGAATTGCTGGCGGGCATCATGATATTGCTAGGCTGGTAAGAAATTCCATTCCTGGCACGTCGAAACGCTTCATCGTCCGGTGCTGACTTGTGAGAGAAGCAGTTTCTCTATTGAATTTGCTTTCCTGCTTTTGAATCGCATATTGTACTATCTTTTGAATGATTTTAAGCTTGTATATTAACATTTTGCTGTGGTCTTGTCTATTTCGCACAGGTGTAGTGCTTCTGATCTTCATATTCGGTCGAGTACGACTCGTGCAGAATATGAAACATAACTCCTTATTTATATTCACAAGGTAGTCACCTGCTGTCATGTAACCAACAATTTGTTAACATGTCCCGGTTGACGTCCGTATAGACTTCCTGGGTTTGTTGTCTTCTAAACTCTTTTCCCCTTTCGTAATGACATTAGTACTCCATCTTGACCTCGCTGCTAAAAGCCTGATTACGTCAACCATCCGGGATGTCACTTCGTCGCCTAGGTATGATATTGAACTATCGGTCCACCTGGAATCAAATGAATGAATAATGGTATGGATTTCTCAATGAGTATGAAGATAAGAAGCAGAATTCCGCCCGACCATACCGCTCTCTAAGAGAGACGACAGAACATCGAATTCCCCCGATATAAATGTTCCTCTTGATATTCTCTGGAAGACAGCCATTCTTCCTACTCCTCCATCTCCATTGATCCGGTCGAATATCTTCAATTCCTGTCTTCAAATTGATCCCCTTAAGACCAGCAATCAAGAGAAATCGACCCCAGTGATGTAACGGAAGGCTTGTTCATCAAGCACAACATCTTGCATGTTAGGATGTCGGACAGGAACGTTGAATAGAGCACAATACGGTAATACCATTGGAGCACCAACAACTGTGGTCTTGGTCACATCAACTTCAGTACATAAATAGTGCTGCTGCATGTTAGGCGGCTTTTGGAGGAGGGGTGGCATTGGATTCTGGCGGAGGATGTCGATGTAGGCTTTGGTCAAGGGTCGAGGGGCACCGGGCGGAGCAAGCTGCCATTGCTCAAAATGTATAGCCGTCTTCTTGACAGAGATGAGAATCACAATGCGCACTTCTCCATTAGAGGCTCTAAATCTCCATTGAGAATCTTTAAGTAGCCTTGGTAGGCTCTCAGAGACCCCCGTTTCGATAACCAGGGTAGGCCATTGAAAATTTGTACTAGAAGGGCAACGTGCAGAGGGGCTGAAAACTTGGTCTCCCTCTTTGCCCCGTGATAAGGAGTTATATCGTGTCGCTCCGCCCTAATAATATTCATTACTTAGTCTCATGCTGATCAGTTGCAGAGTGACTCTCTGCACGAGTGCCGAAGTGGTGAATTCATGGCGATGCCCTGGTATCACGCGTAAAATACCTGTACTACCTTCAAACTCAAACCGGTAGTTCACACCCTTCAAACAATCATGATCCTCGAAGAGTCGCTCCGAGATGCGATGGGTTGTTTGGAGTAGAATAAGAACTGGTTTCCACTCTCTTCCTCGTCTTTTTCGAGGGTCTCGGCGATCTTCTCGGCCTCGAGCTGAACATATTTCAGTCGGCTGAATGTGCGAGTCACGGCACCAGATGGGAGCGCTGTCATGATGTCAGGCATGGTACGGGCGAAAGAGCATCGGAGGACATGATATCAGAGGAAGAAATTCCCATAAATATGGGACGATGGACTCCGACCCAGAATTAGATCGATGGACTTGTCATTTCTATTTTTGAGATACATCATGGCAGTATGGTGAGGGGACCGACTGACCGCCTACCCTTTGGTCTTCTTCCCCACCAAATAAAAAGTGACCGGAGTCGATCAGTCCACTCCAACTCAGATCATTGAACTTTTTTAGCCCATGCTGTGCTTCGCACAGTGATCAGATCGTTCTGCGAAAAACGCCAGTTGAAGAATTTCCCTGCACATCGAGCAAAACCTCCACCATGAGCTCCAGCAATGACGCGGTGTTTCTGCGTCGTAACAACCAAATCCAAGATGCCATTGACTCCCAGAATATGAAGCAGGCCTTACAGCTGATTGAGAAGCGCATGAAGAAAGGCGAGAACACTCATTTCCTGAAGGCGAGTGATTTTTATCATTGTACTCCGAATTTACCACCACTACGACGTCGTTAACTGTAAAGAACCAACTAACACGTGAGATAACAGGCCTGGAAAGCGAATGTTCTCTTCAACCATGCGGATGTGACACATAAAAAGAAGGGAATTGCAGAAACCCTCGAGCTGTGCAAGGCCGATCCACCGATCTCGGATTTAGACTCTCTCGACATACTCCACAGTACGCTGCGAAATATGGATGACTATACCGAGCTTCGGAGCGCTATATGGGAACGAGCAGCGAAGGCAAAGCCACAGGATCGTGATCTTCAGATGAGGTGGTTCAAATTCGGCTATGAGGCTGGTGATTGGAAGTCAGCCCAGAAAGTGAGTTGAGACGAAGCATATGCTACACCGGGATCATATGAAGGCCTATGTTGCTAACGAGTGCCTCCTTTCTTATAACAGGCTGCAATGAGTCTCCAAAAGAACTTTCCTCGGGAGCGAAAGTATTATTTTTGGGCCATCTTCCTCTGTTACCTCGTTTCGGATGACAAATCTAGTTCGGACATGGACCGCAAGTTGTTTGGGACACTTGCCTATCGCCTTGCTCAGAAAGCAGTAGCCGAGGTTCCCTCTAACCCGGTATGTGACTTTTTTCCAAGATTGCATGTCACTGGAAGTGAAGACGAATGAAAATTTTGGACATAAATGACTGACTGATTCAAATGATTTACTACAGACCGAATTGCTAAGCCCTCCGAGAGCGATACAAACCGCCGAGGAACTTCTCTTGGTTGTTCGAATTCTCGAATCACAGTCTCGTTGGGCAGAGATTGTGCAGGTTCTCAATAGTGAAAATACTGGTCTCAGCTCTCGGATTGTTAATAACGACAGGACCTTCATGTTAGCCAAAGTCACTAGCCTGGGGGCTGCCGAACTCTGGGAAGAGGGGCACTCATACGTCAAAGGCCTGCTTACCGTGCCTGAAGACGAAGCAGAGCGCAAAACTTTGCATGAGCGGGATGATTGGAAATACTGGAACTTGCTCATCCTAGCCGTGCGTCGTCTTGAAAAAAGTCCAGGGTATGTCTTCCAATATTTTTACTTCTACACCATCAAACCCTCAGCTAATAAATGGTTGCTTGGTTCATAGGCTACTTTCCGATACGCAGCAGCATATCGAGAAGTTCATCGAATTCAGCCCAAAGTCCCGCAACGCGCACATCGCTATTATGGACATAGTCCTAACCGGATTCAAGCGGGGCGAGCGGACAGAGGATGATCTGGTTATTGCGTGCCAAAGATACTTTGACCAACACAAGCACAAACTCTATGCTTTTAAAGACTTACGAGGGGTCTTGGAGACCCGTGATGATGCCTTGATTCACCGAGTAGCCCAAAATTGCTTGGACAGTGTCGAGGGGAAACCTGTACGTGCAAATTCTGCTAAACTCAGTCAATGCGAGCTAATCAAAATTCTAGGATGATGCCATTCCATTAATCAATGCGTACAAGCTGCAATACTGCGACCGGATTTCAGCCAATAAAAACGTATTGAAATCCAGTATCGAGACCCTTGTCCGCAATTGCCTTTACTTCTACGATGCATTCACGCTTTTAGCAAAGACACAGGACAAAAAACAAGAAAGCCAACCAGATACTGCTTCCGCGATGGAAAGCCGACCCACAGATGACTTCTGCATCATTGCCGCAATGGCCCTTCTTCAGCCTAACACAGCTGGCCAAGCATCTGAGAAAGTCAGTAACACTGCCCTGATTCGCGCCGCCGGGATTCTGGAACATCTTTTAATCGACTCACCTCATAACTACGAGGCGATTCTTATGTTGATTCGAATCTATCTTCTTCTCGGCGCTGGCTCTATTGCTTTGAGGTGGTTTGGCAAGCTGTCTATCAAGCAGATGCAATATGAAAGTGTTGCTCATAACCTCTTTACCCGCTTTGCCACCATCCACCCTCATCCCGCGCCTCTTATAGAGGGCGGAGAATACAAGGACTTTGACGCGCAAGTTGCATTCATTACCGCTCTCGACTTTTATCGTCATGCAAGCTTCACTATCAAGAACTCTTTGATAAAAGGACTTGATGATGGGACTTACGTGAATCTAGATGACACAATTGAGCTTCAAAAACGTATCAGGGACAGTATCTGCCGGAGAATGTGGGCACTGGACTTACGACGGATGCAAAGAATCCGCAAAGGAAACCACTTGGCCCTTCACGAGGAAATCGGTCAGCAATTCTCAGTCTCCCATGTACTCCTGACATACTTGAATACTAATTACCCTATAGCCCAGAATACATCACCGGCTCAAGACCAGCGGAAGTACGATGGTTTCATGGACCTAGAACGTTGTGGCAAACCTGCATTTGAGCACCGACTGCGCGCAGGTCCGGTTCCTGGGGTAAGTTTGTTGGCTTGAGTGACACCATGGCACCGACTAATGTGCATATAGGAAAATTGGCTGGCGTCCGCCCGGCTTACTGATCGACTTTTCAGTGTTCTTGAGAGCATCGGCAGTCAGAAGCCAGTCGTCTTGGAGCCAGAGCTGCCTGACATCGGCAAATTATCGCTCTCCCAGACTGATGTTGATCACACTGGTGCCGAGATAGATGCAGCCAAGATTCACGTAGAATTGTTGAAAGTGGCTATGTTTATGGCTGGATCGAAGGCCCATACTTCCACCGAAATTGAGACTGTTCTTGGCGAGATAGAGGATTGGTTGAAGGCTAAGAAAGAGGATCTAGCTCTGGAAGATACTGGAAATTCTCCCCTTATCATGAGGACGACCGTCCACTTCAGCCCAGGCACCCCAGGTGCACCGACATGGGAATATTTCCATACCATTTGGACCCTCGTGGAGACCCTCAAGGCTCTATGTAATATTTTCAACCTGAATTCTCGAAAGGCTGTGAAGACCGCCAAACTCCCTGCCGAACAAATGAACGGACTGAATACTCTTGTTCGTGAAGTTTTCGAGGATATCCGTTTGAACACCCGAAGTCTGAAACAGAGCCTTATTGAATCAGCCACTCTCAGTACACTCATTGATATGGTCAAGCGTGGGGATACAACTGATGAGTACGAGAAGCCGCTTCAAGAAGTCTTGGAAAAGGCGATGGACGAGTCTGCGCTCGAATTGTTCTGCGGAGAACTGAGAGAGAGCTGGGAGGAGGCACTTGACGGAGTGCTGGCTGCCAGGCTCTAATTCTGAATAAATCATGTGTCCATGAAAATACATTGTTAGAGTACATGTAAAACAATCCATGAGAGTGTTGATATCAACAAGTTCAGATGAAGTCCAGGTAGTAAGAGGTTGATCTATAAAAGGAGGGCAATATCTATCACGTGCACATGCCAAGCCACATGGACTTAGTTGCCTGAGGTGTCAGTAATGACGCTAGTCCCGATTAACCCAGCCCTAGCCCTAGTCACTCGCCTACCGCACCAACGCCAAGGCTCCATTTTGCGGTTCCAGGCAAAAGACCAGGCGAATTTCACACGGCTCTCTCACCTCCTCTTCGACAACCTCCGCCAACCCCTTCAGTCAACAACCGTCGAGATGGCCGAACGCTCCGGAATTGTGGTCGGACTCAACGCGGGCCGGGTACGTTCTTACTGTCTCTTTGCACCATGTTTGTCGCTCGTTTGAAGGTCGCTCGTTTGAAGGTCTCCCAAGGTCTCTTCTTTTCGTTCGCTCTGTTGGTCAACACAAGATCAGTCGGGTCATGGTTCATTGCGGAATCACTGGGAAATTATCGCGGCAAGAAGGATTGCGAATAAATCGCCGAACGAAGAATATCAGAGACTCACTGGGAAAAATTTCGATGTCACGGGAACAATATTTTGAATTCGACTTTGGCACCGGTGCCAGCACTCGCCATGCACGCAACTTTGATCCGACCACGCTACGAACCACCCCGACAGACAGACACGAACCGCGAATTGAAGAGAACATTGGGACCTGCGGCTGCTACATGAAACTTGGCGAAACAGACATACTGACTGCGTTCTGATATAGAAAACCACCGCCCTCAACACCCCCAAGACCCGCATCTCGCGCACCAAGGGCAAGTCTTCCCGCCGCACCGCTTTCGTCCGCGAAATTGCCCAGGAGGTCGTTGGTCTCGCTCCCTACGAGCGCCGCATCATTGAGTTGCTGCGCAACGCCCAGGATAAGCGTGCCCGCAAGCTCGCTAAGAAGCGCGTACGTCTACTCTCAATCCTTTTCCCGCTTTTGTATGGTCGGCTCTGTTGTACGGATTACATTGGATTTGGGGGTCGATTTGGTCGAGGTCTTGCTGTATACAGAATGGTACTGTATGGGCCATGCATGTCAATCATGCAGAGGAAGAGTCATCTCAACCTCTGCTTGGACAAGCCCGTGCAATAACTGTTCTGTTTATAGCGACTAAGATTCATGCCCAAACCTAATGATTTTACTATTATCAGAGCCTGTCGATCCATTGAGTCGACACTTTTGCTAACTTCGTGTCTAGCTCGGTACTTTCGGCCGCGGCAAGGCCAAGGTTGAGTCCATGCAGAAGGTTATTGCTGAGTCTCGCCGCACCGCTGCTCACTAAATTTCCGGACCCGTTCCTGTTTTTCTTTCGTTTTAACGACTCGACGCAAAAAAAAGCGTGATTCTCGGATCGGAAAGGGGGCGTGCATGAAGGGGAAGGCAACTATGGGATTCCTTCTCTGTCGTATGGAGTGAAACCATAATGAAAACAATTATTCAACCATTTTACGTGTGATATTTGCAATTGAGCCACTTTCTAAATGGAGGTTTACAACGTAGATGGAGAAGCGTATACCTTTGGCTCAAGCCGAGTGAGGTTTGATTCCATGTAAATATGGATGCAGAGGTGACAGCTTCACTACACATACACCATTCATTTGGTGTTAAGCCTAGATTTTCATTGAGGTTATCTATAAATGAAGTATGAAAGGCATGTGATTCTCAAGTCTATACGCACATCTAAGACGTTAATGCGTCTCGAAGGGATGCGCCACATAGTTAAGTCGTGAATCATCAAGAGCAGCACATGTCGCTCCCCTGAACCAAATACATTTCATTATCCCCTTTCATTTCTTACCCGGTAGCTTCAGCCACTTAGGCATAGCACCACTCTTCCGTGCCCCGCCGGACTTACCACCGCCCTGAGCGCTACTCGGACCCGGCTGTGAGGGAGCAGGCACATCTTCTTCCTTGATTTCAGGCGGATGCTCCACCTTGAGCTGTTGAGCTTGACTCCGAAGCTCGGGGCGTAGGGTCTCCGCTCGGCGTTCATGAACGAACGAGGCTGCGTTATCAGCCCAAGAAAAGTTGACGAGCACACGGCCAGCCAGCCCTAGATCTTTAATCAGATGCTTCTTGTCTGATGGAGGTATGGCGTTTGTATGCTTGGATCGGGATACCCCGTGGACAGTGAGAATGAAGTTCTCACTGGCGAACGATGGAGCAAGACACCCTCGTGCGAATTCATACAACGACTGCCCTGTGTCCGAGGTCCCAAATTTGGCGACCACTTGACTCTGATCTGGGAAACGGAGCTTCACATCGACCTCGTGAATTGCTGCTCGTCTTGCCGCTTCTGCCTCTGCCTTGGCAGCGATCTCGGCGTCCGTTGGCAAGCGTTTTGGGCGAGAGGACTCGTTGAGTAACCGCTGGTGCAGTTTTGCGTGCTCGATAGAGGGTATGTAATCACTCTCATTGTGGTCTAATTTTGCCGAGGAAGGAGTGTCTTCTGAGGGAGGAGAGAAGACAGTAATTGCTCGACCAGAATCGGCCGTGGAAGTGGCCGGTTCGGAGGTAGATGGGGGAGGGGCGACTTCGTCTGATGCGACGGTGACACTGGAGGGCTCGGGTTGCGATGAACTGGAGAGCTCTTGAACAGGCTCATTGCTTGTACTGTCAGCGGGAGCTGCTGTGGGCGCTGCGTTCTTATCCTGTGCCGGAGGAGCCTCATCCTCTGATGACTTGAAGAACTCGCCAATCTTCACCATGGCTTCTTCGATAGGCTCTTCGGTCCGTCGGAAACTGAGCCGTATAAGAACATTCCCACTATTGAAACCTAGCTGGGCTAGGGTTTTTTGTAGATCTGTGAAGCTCGATACTTCACGTTCCAAAATCTGAAGGACGGGGATCTCATAGTACAGTCGTCCGGCGACATCTCCACTATCGGCAGAGGGCGCTGCCCGTGAAGTGAGGTTCCGTACTGGGCCACTCCCTGCAACTCCCGCCTCGAACTTGCGTAGTACCATCCAGAGTGTAGTCGTACTGGGAAATTTATCAAGTATGCGGCCATTCGGGGCACCACGAGCCTCAGATTCGGGCAGTTGCAGGGCGACGGTTACGACTGACGGGGAGCGGGAGATTTGAACAAGTTCAATTTTTGCCCCAGAGATGAGACCAGACAGACGGTAGGAAAGAGAAAGGTCTAATTGCTTGCGATTGTGTCTGTTGCGTGGAGAAGACCGGGTTAGTGTTGTCATCGGAGACAAGGAACACCAACTCACTTTAATGAGTATTGACTAGCATTATATCCAAGCTTCGAGCATGCTTCCTGTAGGATATCGGTCAAGTGTTTGGTGGGAGTAGTCTTGATTGTTGCCCGCCTGGCTGTCGCATCGATTACCACAACGTGGGCACTCATTGTGTATAGAGGAACACTAGCTCTGGCAATAAATAGGGAAGGTTGAATATCTCAATCAAGAGATTTTAAACGGACAGATCAAGATAAACAAGTGTGAAACTCGAATGCGGGGAGAAAGACAGCGCAGAAAGTAGTCGGAAGGTCGCATACGAACAGGCAGCGGTGCGGGCGTCATCTGAGCTCTCGCGTACCTCAGAGCTTCCCCGTCATCAACTCACCTCCATCACCTCCCCCAACCCGCCCCCTTCTCAACCACTTTTTCTCTTCTTTTTTCTTGTGCTTTAGCTCTGGAATATCCCTTTTATATTGAATTGCATTGAAATCCTGCAATAATGGTAAGAAAAATGCTCCCTTTGTGCACATCGTCCACGAATCTCTGGACCTCAAAGCTGACCGACTTCTCCCATCACAGTCTAACCCCTTCGACATCAGTATGCCGGAACCTTGTCCCTCGTGAATAGTCAACTGAAATACTAATTGTTCTGCAGATGGCGGTGCCTGTGTCGCCATGGTGGGCAAGGACTGCGTCGCCATCGCCTGTGACCTTCGTCTGGGCATGCAGTCCCTGACCATCTCCAACAACTTCCCCAAGATCTTCAACTACGCCCCATCCACCTATCTCGGCCTGACTGGCCTCGCAACTGATGTCAACACCGTCTCCGATCTCTTCCGTTACAAGGTCAACATGTACCGGCTGCGCGAGGAGCGCGACATCGCACCGCAGACCCTCGCCAACCTAGTGAGCTCATCGCTGTATGAGAAGCGCTTCGGTCCTTACTTCGTCAGCCCTGTGCTGGCTGGTATCAACCCAACAACAGGGAAGCCGTTCATCTGTGGCTTTGACAGCATTGGCTGTATCGATTTCGCCAAGGACTTCATTGTCAGCGGAACGGCAAGTGACCAGCTTTTCGGTACTTGCGAGGGTCTGTGGGAGCCTGATCTGGTATGTATTATTGGTGTTATCGTACAACTTGTTGAATTCGCCGTCTAACACAGTTTGTCATTACAGGCCCCCGAAGACCTCTTCGAGACAATCTCACAAGCCTTGCTTAGCGCCGTGGACCGAGATGCTCTCTCCGGTTGGGGTGCCCAGGTTTACATTATAGAGAAGGACAAGGTTACCCAACGCTTATTGAAGGGACGACAGGATTAGATTTGGGGAAGTGGTTGTTTTGGGCTTTCCGTTGGTTTGAGGGCAAATCCCGGCGTCTACGGTCTTCACTGGATGATATGTGCCGTGTACGGTCATCAATGACGGGATAGTACAAGATCAACGTGAGAGCGGTTGATACCTGAGCTGAAGGACAGTTTTGTTCTTTTGGCTCCATGTTTTTCTTACTCCTATCACGATAATAAAAGGCCCCGTTGTCATGTCACGGCAGTGTTCCAATTTGCATCAGAATTCAACATATTTACCAGGGAAACGGACCAAGTCCAGTCTTCGAGAATCAGTAATCATCCCGTCTGTTCAAAAGCTTTGACTGACCTTTGTCTCTCTTCATAGCTGCCCACCTCCAGTAGAGAATCCCTTCGAGGATATAAAGCGAAC